AATAGAGCGAGACTCCATCTCAAAAAAGACGGAGAAGAAGGAGGAGGAGGAGGAGGAGGAGGAGGAGGAGGAGGAGAAGAAGAAGAAGAAGAAGAAGAAGAAGAAGAAGAAGAAGAAGAAGAAGAAGAAGAAAAGAAGAATGAAGACCTAGGAAGGAGAAGAAGGAGAAGGAGGAGGAGGAGGAGGAGGAGGAGGAGGAGAAGAAGAAGAAGAAGAAGAAGAAGAAGAAGAAGAAGAAGAAGAAGAAGAAGAGTTTAAACCTGAAATGACATGAAGACCTAGGCGAAGGAGAAGAAGGAGAAGAAGGAGAAGGAGGAGGAGGAGGAGGAGGAGGAGGAGGAGGAGGAGGAGAGAGTTTAAACCTGAAATGACGTGAAGACCTAGGCGACTGGCGAGAGAGAATCAGAGAAAGTTGTGTCACTGCACCATGGAGTCTTATGGTGATTGAAGTCCGTTCAGCACAGGTGCTCAGGACCTGCGGACTTGGGCAGAGGGCATTGTAAGCAGCTAGAGAACACGAGAGGGCCGAGACAGCTTATCTCTGTTTGACAAGGCCCGGCATTATGGTGAGGACTGAGCATTTTAATGAGTGTGGATCTCAGCCAGCTATTTAATTTTTAGGGCCCACTGTAAAATGAAAATGCGAGACCTCTAGTTCAAATTTATTAGGAGGTGTGGTGGCACGTGCTTGTAGTCCCAGCTACTCGGGAGGCTGAGGTGGGAGGATCATTTAAGCCCAGGAATTTATAGTTGCAAAGAGCTACTGCACGCTACTGAACTCTAGCCTGGGTGATGGAATGAGATCCCGTCTCTTAGGAAAAAAAAAAAAAGTAGGCTGGGCGCAGTAGCTCATGCCTGTAATCCCAGCACTTTCGGAGGCCGAGGCAGGCGGATCATGAGGTCAGGGGATCGAGACCATCGTGGCTAACATGGTGAAACCCCGTCTCTACTAAAAATACTAGAAATGAACCAAGTGTGGTGGCACACACCCGTAGTCCCAGCTACTTGGGAGGCTGAGGCAGGAGAGTCGCTTGAACCTGGGAGGCAGAGGTTGCAGTGAGCCAAGATTGTGCCACTGCACTCCAGCCTGGGCGACAGAGGGAGACTCCATTTAAAAAAAAGAAAGAAAGAAAGAAAGAAAAGTATTTAATAAAAAAAAAAAGAAATTTAGTAAAAATTTCAAGATGCCAAGAGCCGAGTGTTAAACCAGGTGGGGGGGGGGGGGCTCTTAGCACCAGGTGCTGTGTGAAAACATGGCTCAGAAGCAAGGGAACCCAACCCTGGCATAGGCTCAAACTGCTGCTGTTTAGCAAGGAGTGGGCACTGCAAACTGGAGGGTAATTCCTCCCCTGCTTGGGGGCTGGCCTCTGGAGGAACCTCACTGTTTGCACTTGGAGTTGAGGGGCATCCTGCCCTTGAGCCCTCATCCTTTATTTTGTTTGTTTGTTTCGAGACAGAGTCTCACTCTGCTGCCCAGGCTGGAGTGCAGTGGCACAATCTCGGCTCACTGCAACCTCCGCCTCCCGGGTTCTCCTGCCCCAGCCTCCCAAGTAGCTGGGATTACAGGCGCCTGCCGCCATACCAGGCTAATTTTTATATTTTTAGTAGAGACGGGGTTTCACTATGTTGGCCAGGCTGGTCTTGAACTCCTGACCTCAGGTGATCTGCCCGCTCAGCCTCCCACAGTGCTGGGATTACAGGCATGAGCCCCTGCGCCTAACTGAGCCCCTCATCTTACTGCTGCAGGAAGGAATGTAATTCCCTGGCTTGGCCATGGCCACGGCCACTGTACAGGGTGGCAGGACAGGGACATCTGCTCAGGGTTTCTGTGTTTCTGTGTCACCCCTCCCACCCCAGTAACTGAATTCTGGGGAGCTGTGGCCCAAGGAGGGAAAGGGGCAGCATCTTTTCTCCTTGATTAGGGGGCTTTCTGGAGCCGGGGGAGAAAGCAGGCGGGCATCTGGCAGGGCCATGATGGGAGCCCACGACTCCAGCTTCCCTGGGGAGCAGGGTGAAGTGCTCAGGGATGCAGGGAGAAGGGAAGTCAACTTTCCCTCCTGGACGATGGAGACAGGAGACAGGAGGGAAAACTGAGGAGGGAGTGTCAGGTGGCCACTTGGCTCCAGAGGCTGCAAGATGGGGGCCTTTCTTCCTGTAGCATTCCTGGAAGGTTTGCCCAGGGTCCACATGTTCCCAGGCATCCTGGCTGCTGAGCCTGTGGGTACGTGGAGGCTCTCACTAACAGGCCAGCTGATGCCGGCAGTGCCACTTCTAAGATGGGCAGGGGATGCATTAGCCTCCAGGCCAGACTGCAGACAGTTGGGACATGCAAGAACAGTGCAGAAGAAAATAGGAGACTTAGTGCCTCTACCTGGGGAATGAGGGGGGTGCATGTGAGGATCAGGTGGATTAAAACATGTCAGGTGTCTAGCAGCATGTGGCCGACAGAAGTGCTAAAAAGTGCTACTTAGCATTCATCATTATTATTAAGTATTATCATGAACGTTTCTCCTTATGGAGAAAGCTTTGTGTAAACCACTTACTATTAATTATTGTTAATTATTATCAATGTTCTCTCTCCTTGGACACGGCTCTATGTCTCTTGTTTCTGTTACCTTCACCTTGGCATCTCCCACACCTACATCTACTGGCTCAATTAACACTTAATAAATGTTATTTTTCAAAAACATTCATTTAAATACATCTCAGTAAAATGAACCATTCAAAATGGGAGGATACTGATAAAGTAAAATGAGATCACGCCAAGCAACTAAATTGCTTTTTAAAAAAAAAGATTAAAGTAGCAGTTCAAAATCATCACAAAAACCTGGCTTTTTTCTCTTGTCAACAACTGGACCGTGACTAAAAATAAAACCCCCCAAATTCAATGCTTGGGTATATTTTATGACTGGGATTCAGCTTTTATTTAATTTCTCTTCTTAAAAAATATGTTGTTTTTGGTTAAGATGAGCATAACTTAGTTTTACATAACTAAAAGTAAACAGACACCAGTGGGTTTTCCTGGAAAGGGCCCAGAACTCGGGCATGGCTAGACGCTGGTTCTCGTTGGTTCCAGGCTGGAGAGCCCCCAAAATCAGCCCTGAGAGATGGGTGTGTTTTTTTTTTTTGAGACGGAGTCTCACTCTGTCACCCAGGCTGGAGTGCAGTGGCCGGATCTCAGCTCACTGCAAGCTCCGCCTCCCGGGTTCACGCCATTCTCCTGCCTCAGCCTCCCCAGTAGCTGGGACTACAGGCGCCCGCCGCCTCGCCCGGCTAGTTTTTTGTATTTTTTAGTAGAGACGGGGTTTCACCGTGTTAGCCAGGATGGTCTCGATCTCCTGACCTCGTGATCCGCCCGTCTCGGCCTCCCAAAGTGCTGGGATTACAGGCTTGAGCCACCGCACCCGGCCGAGATGGGTGTTTAATGTGACCTGAGATCTCCAGCCTCCACCATTTAGTGGCTTGGCTCGTTTCTGGCTACGTGGCCTTGGGAATTCCCTTCCTCCATGTGGTCCTTGTGCCTTGTCAATAATGGTGTAATAAAACTATAAAAAATGAATTAGAAGCCTCGGGGGCAAGTATTAATAGCTAGAAAGCTTGAGAATGCCACAGAAATATAAATCATGGTGCATTGAGTGTGTATTTTCCATGTATTTTTCATCCACAGAGACTCAGGAAGGGGAAGGTGGACAAGGTTTAGCATGTTTTAAACCTTCTATGCTCCTCCTACAGGGCTATGGCTCCCAGTATGAGAGAGGAATTTACATTTTTTGAATGCCTTCCCATTTAATTCACTTAATTTAATTTGCAGAGCACACCATGTGCCTTAGGAAGGTGCAGAAACTGAGATCCAGGTTCTGTGGGTTCTTACTTCAGGTTACATGTGTTGCCTGAGATCACACAGGTGGTTTGTAAAAACAAATCGATGCTAAGATGCCATTCATCTGTCAGCCCCATGTGCAGTGGTTCTCAGCCCAGGGAGATTTTGCCCCCAAGGGGACGTTTGGCAATGTTTGGAGATGGTTATGATTGTCACTGCTTGGGTGGGGGAGGGAGGGTGTCACTGACATGAGTAGAGATCAGGGGTGCTGCTGAACATCCTGCAATGCACAGGACAGCCCCCCCTAACATTTCAAGCATTGTCCAAAATACGAATAGTGCCGAGGTTTAGAAACCCTGTGCTATGGGCGCAGTGGCTCATGCCTGTAATCCCAGCACTTTGGGAGGCCAAGGCAAGTGGATCATCTGAGGTCAGGAGTTCGAGACCAGCCTGGCCAACATAGCAAAACCCTGTCTCTACTAAAAATATGAAAATTAGCTGGGCATGGTGGCGGGCACCTGTAATCCCAGCTACTTGGGAGGCTGAGGCAGGAGAATCGCTTGAAACCGGAAGGCAGAGGTTGCAGTGAGCTGAGATGGCGCCATTGCATTCCAGCCTGGTGACAGAGCAAGACTCTGTCTTAAAAAAGAAAAGAAAAGAAAAGAAAAGAAATCCCGCACTAAACAATTGCAGAAGTAGTGGGGCGGGAACGTCTCTTACTCTGTCTGGGCTGTGTATGTGTTTCTAAGAGAAAAGCTTCACTGGAGGTCTGAGTGTGCTAGGCCCCGGTTACTCAAACTGTTGTCCCTGGATCAGCAGCAGCCTGGAGCATGTTAGAAACGCAGGCCTCTCCCTGGACTTAGACTTCCAGAGCCTACATTTTAACAAGCTCCCACATGATTCATGTGCTTGTTAAAGTTCGAGGAGGGCAGGGTCTGATTCATTCCAGGCTGAACGGCCCGCAAACCAGCCCTGAGAGATGGGCATTTAACTTGTCCTTAGCTCTCACCGGGGCTAAGACCCATGCCAGGGCTTCAGGGACTGACAGGCTCCCTTGAATCTGCCCTGCTCCCCCTCCTTTGATTGTCACGTGAGCCCTGGTGGTTGGGGAGGAAGAGCGCATCTGAACTGGCTTATGCTAACCTTTCCCGCTTTCCTCCCTGCCTCATCCCCTCCCCAGGCCTACATCCTGCTGGGACAATTCCTTCTGATGCACAAGAATGAAGCCGAGTTTCAGAGGTGGCTCATCTGCTGTTGTGGTGCCACTGAGTGTGAGGCCCAGCAGAGTTCTAACTGCCTCAAGGAGTGGTGCGCCTGCTTCCTGTAGACACAAACCTCATCGCTGCCCCCCACCCCCTGGGGAAAATGACGCCCTCTCCACCTATGCCCAGGCTCTGAGTCCTCATTTGTGTTTTTAATTGTAATGATACACTCCCATTATAAACAGTGGGTCAAGAACAGAACACAGGACAAATGCAAGAGATATGACTCCCAAACCCACCACCCAGAAACCGTAGTCACACCCTTTAGATGAATATCGTGTCAAATATCTTTCAGCAAAAAATCTGTATGAAAAAATGGATAATTTTATTTAAAAACAGGAATTGAATTTTAAGTCAGTGTATTAGTGATCTATTGCTGCATAACAAATAATCCCAACATATAGCAGCTTCTCAAAACAAACAATGATGCTATCTCACAGGGTTTCTGAGGGCCAGGAACCTGAGAGTTGTCAGGAACCTGCCAGCTGGTTCTGTCTCAGGGTCTCTCATGAGGTTACTCACTGTTGGCCCAGCAGCAGTCTGAAGGCTGGACCAGGGCTGGAAGACCCACCTCCAAGATGGCTGCCTCGCATGGCTGCTGGCAAGATATCTTGGTTCCTCACCACGTGGGCCTTCCCATCGGGCTGCTCGTGGCATGGCATCTGGCTTCCCCCAAAGCTGGTAACTTAAGAGAGAGAGAGAGAGCAAGCAGGAAGCCACGGTGCCTTTTATGACCTTGTCTCTGACACATGCAGTATACTCACTTCTGCCTTATTCTATTTGTTAGAAGCAAGTCACTAAGTCCTCAAGGGAGGATAATGAAACATTCTTCAAATAATATGCATGCACATTTTTAAAATCACAGTTTCTTGAGGCCTCATTTACATATAGTAAAACTTACCCTTTTCAGGTGTGCATTCTATAAATTTTGACAAATTCACCACCATAATCAAGATGTAAGACACTGTCATTACCCCAGGAAGTTCCCTCGTGCCTCTCTGTAGTCATCGCTTCTCCCTTCCCAGCCCCTGGCAACCATGAATCTGTTTTCCATCCTTACAGCTTAGATTTTTCCAGGAAGTCATATAAATGGAATCGTATAATATGTAACCTTTTCAGGTGGGCTTCTTTCACTTAGCATAATTCATCTGAGATTAGTCTATTATATAGGCTTTTTAAACTCAAAAAAGGTTTATTAGATGCTATCGGTGCCCGGCCCACATCCTTTTGGTATTTGTGTTCTGGTAGAGTCCAGTGACTTCCCCTAGCAAACACCTGAATGTCTTCTGCCTGAGGGTCTCTCTGGCTACAAAAGCGGGATCAGCCCACACATAGGGCAGAGGGAAAGTGGCAAGCAGTTGATGCCCAGTAGAGCCCACAGTGATGGGTGAACAATGATGGATAAATGTCCTAGCTTACCCTGCAGATAGGACAAACTCTGAGACAGTCTGTTTGAGCTCCCTAGTGGTATTGAGCCCTAGTTTCCCACAGTGGTCACCTGCTCTTGAACAGCTCATACTTCTTTCCTTCCTTATCTTATTTCCCCACTCCACTACCAGTGTTTCCTGAGATCATCCCCCTACTCCTACTCCCTAGAAAATACTCAAATTTTAGATTCAGGTTCTGCTTCTGGGAGAACCCAACCTAAGACAAAAGTGTTGGAATTTAGTTTTATTTTAATGAGAGAAAAAATTGAAACTGAAAGAATTGTTGAAATTTGATGAATTTTTTCTTCATCTCTGAGTGTAGTCATAAATTATTCAATTTCCTTCGAATTTCAGAATAATATTGAGGAAAACAGAGGTTCATATCATTAGGTTTATTTTAAACTCTGGTTTTCAGTGAAAGATCACGTGATGGCTAATACTGAGTGTCAACTTGATTGGACTGAAGGGTGCAAAGTATTGATCCTGTGTGTGTCTGTGAGGGCATTGCCAAAGGAAATGAACATTTGAGTCAGTGGGCTGGGAAAGGCAGGCCCACCCTTAATTTGAGTGGACACCATCTAATCAGCTGCCAGTGAGGCTAGAATATAAAGCAGGCAGAAAAGTGTGAAAAGACTAGATTGGCCTAGCCTCCCAGCCTACATCCCATGCTGGCTTCGTGCCCTCGAACATCGGATTCCAAGTTCTTCAGTTTTGGGACTCAGACTGGCTCTCCTTGCTCCTCAGCTTGCAGACAGTCTATTGTGGGACCTTGTGATGATATGAGTTAATAAACTCCCCTTTCTGTCCCTCTAGAGAACGCTGACTAATACAGCTGGTATGAATTCCTGCTATAAAAGTAAAAAGAAATTGATATTCATGATTCTTCTCTACTTTCCTCCTACTTTTATTGGCTTTATTATTACTTTTAATTTGTCAAGGTTTATAGCATTTACATTCTTCCCACAATTGTTTAGTCCTAGTTGTATATCTAAGAGCTTATCACCAATCCTTGTTAGTATCCTTATTTTAAAGATCATATCTTTGTCATTCCTGAATTATTTATTTTGATAATGTCTTTATTGGTTGACTTGCATCAGTGTATCTATCTGTCAGAATAGGCCAGGTTCTGCTTCTGTAACAAACTTTCCCCACGTCTCAGTGATTTATCCAACACAGGTTGACTTCTCTCTCATGCTATGTGTCCAGTACATGTCATCAGGGAGCTCTGTCTCTTGTAGTCACTCTGAGGCTTTGGTTAATGGAGATACCCTCTCAACACACACTTCCATGATTACCACGGTGGTGGGAAGGAGCCATGCTGAATGACATACTTACTGTCTGTAAAAGCCTCTGTCTCAAAGTAATACATTCTATTTGCACTCACATTTCATTGACCAAAGGAAATCATATGGCCACACCTAACTCCAAAGGGGCAAGGTCCCTTCTGAATGCAGGAGAAGGGGGAACATTTAGTGGCAGCACTAATCAAGATCACTGTCATCAATTAAGTTTATAACTTTTTTGCTTGCTAATGTTTTCTTGAAAAAACAGAAACCAACCAAAGGTTATTATTTTTCTCCTGAAAGCCTTGCAGGTGTTATGTTTAAGGTGATAAATATTTCCTAAATTTGTAAAGTGACTGGAATATTTCTACTGGAGTCTGTTAGCTCTTTCTAGCTCTGCTTTTCTTGCTCTCTCCAAGGAGAAACCAAAGAATCAAGAATTCCAGGAGAGCCAGTGTGGCCCAAAGATTAAAATAGCTTCATCTTCTGAGAGCTCTGGGTCTCAACAGCCAGAAGCTTTCCTTTGCTACTTCTTGCATGGCCCACCCTTGGACCAATTCTTCACTGAAATAGTCATGGTATTTAGAGGTCACTAATTTTCTAAGACATAAGCTGGATGGCTCCAGGGAAAGGAAAGAGAGAGGTACCTTCATCTCTCAGTCTATTTCCACATGCCTCCAACATTGCTGAAATTCATCCTTCTAGCCGAGTTGATGTCCAGGATCACGTAGGAGGACCAGGGAGCTGAGAAACCTGGAAGAGATGGGGCCCCCAAGACTGAAAAGCCTTTATAAGATGGACCCTATCACAGATATTGAAGACGAGTAGCTGTTCCCTATTTAGTGTAAACATCTTCCCAAAGGCACTAGGAACTTTCCCCATCAGTCTTTCATTCCCTGTGTTGATTTTTGTCATCTTTGTAGATAATTATTGGTCTAAATTCTTCCCTTCTCCCTGCATTCCCCATGTTTGTCATGTGACTTTGCAGGTCCTCCCACTAGAGGTAGAGTGTAACTCCCAGCTCCTTGACTTAGACTTGGCCATATGACTTGCTTTGGACAATGGTATGTGGCCAAAGTGGAAGTGTGCCAGTTCTGAGCCCCATCACTCATTTCTACTTGCTCTCTTGTGCCTCCAAGAGGAGAGCTACTCCCTTGTATAACTGCTGCCCCTTCAGCCTGGGCTTCGGAATGAAACCAGGTGAAGCTGACCGGAGCCAACCTGCTGCCGGGACCCAAGGCCAGCCAGCCCTGCAGCTTGATGCAAAGCCGCCCAACTGAGCCCAGCCTACATCAGCCAACCCTCAGCCAACTCATAGGTTTGCGAAGGAGAACAAAGGATTGCTATTTAAAGCCAGTGATGTTTGGGACAGTTGGTTATGCAGCAATAGCTAACGGATACATTCTTTATAGTCTAAAATGTCCTTACCCTGCCAAAGTGTGCCACATCGAAGGCCAACACAACCTTTAGATGGAGAAGTAGCCTAGGGTGGGGTGAAAAACTTTGCTTCTGGAGCCAGCCAGGTGTGAGTGTGAATTCCAGTTCTACCAATCCCTACCTTATCCTGGGTGAGCTACTTCAACCTTGCTGAGCCTCTGTCTCTTCATCTGTAAAATGGGTCAAGAAGGTAACAACCCTGCCCTGCAAGGTGGATCAACAAAAATGCACATGTAGACCAGGCACAGTGGCTCACGCCTGTAATCCCAGCACTTTAGGAGGCCGAGGTGGGTGAATCACTTGAGGCCAGGAGTTCGAGACCAGCCTGGCCTGTCTCTACTAAAAATACAAAAATTAGCTGAGTGTGGTGGCACATGCCTGTAATCCCAGCTACTCAGGAGGCTGAGGCAGGAGAATCACTTGAACCCAGGAGGTGGAGGTTGCAGGGAGCCAAGGTCACGCCACTGCACTCCAGCCTGGGTGACAAAGCGAGACTCTGTTTCAAAAAAAAAAAAAAAAAAAAGAAAGCACATAAAAGATAAGGTGAATAGGAACATCATGAATGACCACTAACGGCTGTTTTCTTAGAGCTCTCCTTCCAGTCCTTGCCTCTTGCACTCTTGGTCCTCTCATGGCCCTTGGGAGAGAATTCACAGCTGTGAGTTGAAAGGGAGCCGAGATATCAACTTATCCAAACTAGTCCAATTTTGTCCCACCATGTGAGTACTGGACACTGTATAGCTTAAGGACTAGACACTCTTTAATGGGCAGGTAAGAAATAGCAACAGATGAAAATCAAGTTACCTCAGATTTTGACTGTGGTCTTGTAGGGTCCCACTAGCCCACTGATCCCCAAATACATTTTGCAGTGTGCACAAGAGGAGTGGGCTTGCACACACCCCCCCAGTCCTGCCAGTGGCACCTCTTCTGCTTCTCGGGGCCATTGATTATTTGGGAAAGGGTTAGTGCCTGAGAAC